CGGTGCGGCTGCCCCGGCCATGGGGGCGGCGGCGGGCGCGTCTCCGCCGTGAGGAGCAGCAGCGGCGGCGGGACCCAGCGATGTTGCGGGGGTAGGTGAGGGTCTGCACGGGGAAGGAGTGGCGTCCGTGTGCCGGGACTCTGTGTCTCCGTAGAATCCTGGAATGGTTTGTGTTGGAAGGGATCTTAAAGTTCATCTTCTCCTGCCGCGGGCAAGGACACCTTCAGCTATCCCAGGTTGCTCCAAGCCTTGTCCAACCTGACGTGGACACTTAAAGGGATGGGGCAGCCACGGCTTCTCTGGGAAATCCATTCCATCACCCTCACAGGGAAGAAGTTACGTGGAAGCTAAATAAGGAGATGGGGTAAGGAGGCAGGAGCATCCCCAGACACAGGACTTAGCGTTTTATTGCTGAGGCAAAGAGAAGAAACACCAATGTGTGTTCTGCTGTAACATACTACCATAAAAATATAATGAACCACTGCCAGATGCTTTGCCAAACACTTGAGGGATGATGCTGAGCACACATGGGATGTTAAGCCACTCTGGAGTGATGCTGGTCCATGGTGGTGCAGGTCAGGTGTCCATCCCGGTGGGGATGGAAAAGTCAGGCCCTGCTCCCAGACCTGTGGGTAAGAGTTTAACCTGGAGAGAGCCAGAGGCTGCTTGCACGGGAAACAGCCCCGTCGGATCAGTGCTGCAGGAAACATGTGGGGCCCGCTGGAAAAAGTGCAGATCCTGCACATTTTTTTGCTTTTTCTACAGAAACCAATTTTAGAAGGTTGTGGGGTGTTGGGGGATTTTTTTTTTTTTTTTTTTTGTGTCAGTGTGTGACTCTTAGTACATGATCCATTTTTCCTGGAAAGGCAGCTCGCTACCAGTCAGCAAGAGAGAGAATGTTTGTGGTGGTCCTTTGGTCTCTGGGATTGGATTTCAGAGCACCACCTGGACCCTGAGCAGAATTCAGCATATCCAAGGCTTCCACAGGGATTCTGCTTGCATGGTGTGGAGAAAGAATGAGCTATTCCATCATCATTTTCCAGGATATGTTTTTGGCATTACAAAGTGTGGGTGGGACTGTTTAATTCCTCCATATCCTTCAGTTTTCTTCCATAGTGTGTGAAAATATGCTGAAATATCTGTCTCCTGAGGTAACTTTCAGCTGAGAATTTGAGAGTCATAAAGGAACAATATTATTTTTTCTTCCTGTGGGTTAGATTAAGTGTATTTCTATCAGTAGATCGGTGAAATGTTGCTGCTTCTTTTATATATTATTTTTGTCCTCCGTGCTCTGGTTTCCTTGCTCCTTTCTGGTGTGATTTCTTCCCAGTGTTCAGAGAGTTCTCCATGTGTGCTTTCCTACATGCTTTCCTATGATACCTGAGCTGATATAGCTGGGAACTGCTCCTTTGTTCCCTGTTTGGAAGGTGGCTGTGGACAGCTGTTGGTCTTGGACAGCTTGGAGGGCACAGAAATGGAGAAATTAGGGCGGAAAAGGTGATCGGACTCTCTGGGACTGAGGAGAAAAGCCCAGCCTGTGTGGAGCAAGGAAAAAAAGCATGGCCTGGCTGGAATGCAGGAGAGGAAGACACAGAGATGGGGCAAAGGGAAGAGGAAAAAGTGAACCTGAGTAACAAGAGATGATGGTTGCTCTGCAGGAGGGTGGGTGGGTGAGGAGTAGTGTCCAGAAGTGTGGGAGGAGGTGCACAAAGAGAAGGACACCAGAGCTCAGCCAGGGCTTGTGAGCCAGAGATAAGCAGCAGCAGGTTAATCTGCAGGGCAGTGTCTGTGTCTGAGCAGGATAGAAAACTGCCACATGGGGAAGGCTTGGACACGCTGTCCCTGCTTTCACATGGAGGGAGATTCCATGGGGAGAGTTCAGTGAGGAAGAGGAGAAATGTAAACACCACAGTGACAGCAGTACCCTGCATGCAGGCATTCAAATTATGTTTTCCATTCCTAAAACTTCTCCAGCATCTGTGGTAATCTGGGAGTTGACAGAGCCCTACCGAGCACTGGGGTGCAGTGTACCAGGTGACTCTTCTGGTTTCTTCTTTCTAGGACATCTCTGATTGCTGGCCCCTGAAACTAAAAAATAGGGCTTTGACACAGCTTGGGGACAATACACGGGTTTAGACAGCTCTGTGGGGGATTTCAGTGGGAAATAGGTGGGAAAATAGGCTAAAAAATTGTTAAGAATAGATCATCTTTTCCTTCTGAAGCAGGTTCAGGGGGTAGAGGACGTCTGGGTTGGCAGCAGAGAAGATTGGGGTCTTTATATTTGGAATGGGAAAGCTGTGTTTCTTTTTTTTTGCTACTTCAGTAGGGAAGTCTGACCTTAGGTCTACTGGGTGTATCCTGGAATCCTAAAAATCCTTTTGCAGGGTGTTTCTCTTGAGCAGCAGGTGAGAATGGGATCCCTGGAGGAGCTGTCCTTAGTTCTCCTGCCTTACCCTGAGTTAATAAGGACATCCTGCCAAAACGGTAAAGCACTTCCATAGGGATGCAAGGCAAATGAACTGGTGCAGCTGTTGCTGCCTAAATTCTTCCCCATCACTCTCCCCACCTCATTCCCACTGCCTGTGTCAGGGGCTGGATGTGAGTGTTGGAGGAAGGATCTGGATCATTGCCATGCTCATTTTCCCTGTGCTGTTACCCCACAGCCAGGTCAATTTTGAGGAAGAGAGCCAGAATCCACCCGCTGTGGGACACTGGAAGCCCCTGATGCCATCCAAAGGCAACAAGGAGGAGCCAGAGAGTGGATGCCAGGATGCTGGAGGTGTGCATGAGCCCCAGTCCACGGAGCAGCTCAATGTGTCCCGGCTGCGCAGCTCCTCGGTGGAGATCCGGGAAAAGGGCTCTGAGTTCCTGAGAGATGAGCTGCACAAAGCACAGAAGGTGAGCCCCAGTGTTTTTCGGAACTCCTGGGGAGGGTGGCACAGGTTGGAGTGGTGGGGACTTTCCTAGAGGTGGTGACAGGAATCTTGGGTCAGAGATCAGGTGCTGGAATGTGGAGGAAATTCTGGGATTGACAGGCTGGGGCAGGGCATCAGCATCCCTATCCCTCTCCATTTCCTCAACAGGAACTGAAGCTGAAGGACAAAGAATGTGAAAGATTGTCAAAAGTCAGGGAACAGCTGGAGCAGGAACTGGAGGAGTTAACAGCCAGCCTGTTTGAGGTACCACCCTCTTCCTTTTCCCATAGTTTTTTAAGCTAAGCTTACATCCAGCTTCTTTAAGACAGCTTTCCCTGGACTTCCAGCCATCTCTTCCCACAATTTCCTCTTCTCCCCTTTTATTCTTTCCCACTTGGAGAAGCAGAACTGGCCAGTGCTGCAGGTGGAGGCTTTATCTGGGTTTCTCTCACCTAGCAGCTGTGGGGTGGCATAAAGAGCTCAGTAGATACGGTTCCAAAATGTGGGAATGCCTGGAGCTGGAGCCAAGCACAGCTCAGCTCCCGGTCGTTCTCCGTGCCTGCTCTGTAGCCTGGGCAGCTGCTGTGTAATAGAGATGATTCCCTGGCTTGTCCCAGCCCTTTCTGGGGGTGGGAACATGCTGGATGTCCTCATCCTCACTGCTCCAATGAGTGTCCAGAAGGCCTGTTGATTGTTGTTTTTGTTTTGGTTGTTTTTTCGTTGTGATGTGATTCTTTCCAAGCTGTATCCTGGCAAAATCCCATTCACCAGCAGCTCTAATGTCTGGATCTGTCTGGGTGAGGAAAGCCAGAGCCCATCTGTGCCTTTGAAACACAGGGCTGTGAGAGCCAAGGGAGCACTCCCTCCCAAAATTTTGGCCTCCTGAGCACAGGGTGATCTTAGAGATCGTGTAGCCAAGGGCTGTCCCCTTCCTTCCTTTGGTGGCCTTGGCCAGACGCTGTTTCCAGACTGCAGGGAGGCCCCAGCTGGGCTTCATCCCGCTCCTCTCTTCCTGTGGGAGAAGCTTCTAAGCCAGTTTCCACCATTTGGCTCCCACCTGAGCTCCAGCTCCTGCTGTGCCACAGTCCTGCCTGGGGCAATGGGAACCAGCTGCTCCCAAAGAGAAGTGGGAGCAAAGTGCAATAACAAGGCAGGCAGGAGCAGTACCCTCACCAAGATGTGGAGCAGCGAGTCTGGATCAGGATCAGAGCCACAGGAAGCAGTCAGGGTCAGGAATTAGTGCAGGGATCACCCAGCAAGACTGCAGTGGCTGCAGGAACCAGGCTGAGGTGAGGATGGAGTCGCAGAGCTGCTGGAATAGGGGCAGACACAGCTGTGGTGTGGAACAGGTGGGTTCTAATGTTACAGCAGTTCCAAAGGGCAAGGAAAGGCAGGTCCTTGCTTCTGGCATTCTTCTCAGCAGCCCCTATCAGCGAGTGATGACCTTGGCCAGCTAAACTCCTTAACTTAGCCAGCTATGCTCCTGGAAAGGGGATGCACTCCAGGCTTTGGCACTGGGAGCCTTCCCTGGGAAGTTCTGAGGGAAGGCTCTGCACAGCCGATGGAACAAACCCTCTGGATGTGACAGGGCTGCCTGTCCCCTTGCCTGAACGTGTGATGTGGTGGATCTGTGGCCTCCCTTGTTGGCTGTGTGACCTGGGGTGCAACAAGTGGATTAAAACTCTCTCTGGTGCAGGAAGCCCACAAGATGGTGAGAGAAGCCAATACCAAACAGGCTGCGGCAGAGAAACAGCTCAGGGAGGCCCGGGGCAAGGTGAGTGAGTGACTCTCTGTGACTTCATTTCTGAGGTTAATGTGGTGGCATCTCTTCCCAGCCTGGCCACAGGGCTGTTTAGTGGCTGAGCAGAGTGAAGTGCAGCTTCATCTCTCTGAGATGCTGTGGTCCCTTTCTAGCACTTTCTCACTTGAGTGAGAGGGAGAAGGCCTCACAGACATCCTTGCAGTCTCCTGCTGATCCAGCTCTCATTTGGGAAATGGATCCACGGAGAAATAATGAATTTAATTGTCACAGGTCTGGGATGGAAGGATAGAGCAGAGACCTGGGGAGCTGGTATTTCCTCACATGGCTGCACCACAGGGTTGCTCAAATGGCTCCATCTTGAGAAGAGAGAAATTTCTTTAGAGTTACTGGTTCTGAAAAGAGCCTGGGACAAAAGGGGTAGATTCCCAAACAGCTGCTTTTTAAAATTCTGGATGGTGGTGACACTGGGTGGATGGGGAGAGGCTTCGTGGCTGGGCTTGTAACCACATCCCTGTGGTTTCAACGTTTGATGGGATGCAGCAGACTGGAGCCCAGCAGGTGCTGAGGGTGACTCTTGCTTGTGTCCCCAGATTGACATGCTGCAGGCAGAGGTGACGGCCCTGAAGACGCTGGTGATCACATCCACACCGTCCTCCCCGAACCGGGAGCTGCACCCTCAGCTGCAGAGCCCTTCCAAAGCTGGCTTCAGGAAGGGCCACGGGCGGAACAAGAGCACCAGCAGTGCCATGGTGTCAGCTGCCAGCCAGAGCGCGGCTCCAGAGCCTGTCAACCGGGAATGCAAAGAGGTGGGTGAGGGACGTTCGCTGCATCGGCCTCGGAGCCGCCGCTCCAGGAGCTCCGGGCTCAGGCTTCCCACAGAGCTCTGTGGTCTCACTGAACAGCTGTTTGTGCCTTGTTCCCTAAATTTGTGCTGAGGCAGGCACTGGAGGGTTTCCTTTTGTGCAGGTTTCCTCTTTGTCGGGACAGGAAGCAGTTGAGGGATCACTGATGGCCAGATCCAGGGGGTGCCAGTGCTGTGAGCAGATATCGAGAGCTGCTGAGCAGAAGCCACTTCCAATAGTCAGATGTGGACACAGCTGTCCTGGGAAGCAAATAGGAGGCACTTGGTCAAGAAAAATGAAGCTGAAGAAGAATGTGGTGGGGGAATATGTCTCACTAGTGATTTTTTGGGAACTGTGGTCTGTGTCGTGAAGAATTGTTGAGGGAGCACAAAGGCTTGTTAAAGGTTTGGATCTGTCATTTCTTCATGGAGGCAACTTCCACAGGGTGCAGATCTCCTGGGGTTTCAAATCTCAGGCCTCAGCCTCCAGAGTGCCCAGTGTTACGTATTGATGGGATGTTTTTTTGTCCCTCAGAATCCTTATGAGAGAGGTGATAAAAAGGAACCTGGCATTCAGAGAGTTGGTGCTCTGTGGGAAAGGTCTTAAATTGAGCCTAAAAATGGTAATTTCTGTTCCGTTTTTGCACCTCAAGTCTAAAGATGCAGCTTGTGGCCCTGTGGTGTCTTGAGGACCATGCTCAGTTCCTGCAGGGGAGGACCTGAGCCTTTCTCTGTATCTCATGGTTTTTACCCCCCTCTTTGCCTGTCTCTCTAAACCTCTTCCTTCACTGTCTGTCTCTCCCTCTGCCCTCCAAGTCTGGTTTCCCTGCTCTCCTCTCCCTGCTCCTTTGCATCCTCCCTGGGAAGGCTATCCACATCACCTATGAGCCAGGCTGGCAGGCCTTGGGAGCAGATGCTTCCTCCTCCTCCTCCTCACGGCAGGTAACCAACCTCTGGGAACGGGTGGGACGCACCTGCCTCTCACGCTTCCAGCCTTTCAGTTCCAGCTTCCTTTTATGCTAATCTCCATTTATTTTTTTCTTTCATTTTGTTTTTCTCCATTTGTTTTTCCATCTTGTGGCTCTGAAGCTGTTGCTGGTCCCAGGTGAGCAGTCTCCATGGCACAGAGGGGATGTGCTGGAATCTGGACTTTTCCAGCTGCGTTCACTCATGTTATTTCTGTTGCCCAGCTTAGTTTTATATTTTCCTTTCAGAAGCTTTTGTTGGGCTTGTAGGAGCTGCTCTGTCAGTCAGGTTGGTGCTTTGCCTGATGATCCATCTGGGATTTAAATGCCAGATCCCACGGAGTCTTCTATTGCCCCTCAGCTGCTCCCATGGGTTGAGCATGCACTTTGTCTATTCAGTGGTTGTGTGGTGGCTTTCCTGCAGCCACAGGAAGGAGAAAAAGCCATGTGAAGGAAAATGGGATAGAGAGGCAGGCATGGCATGCAGGCTTCTGGCACACACAGCCCAGAAAGGGCTGTGTCACTGTGGCACAAAACTGCTGCTGGGTGGGAAACAAGAGATCCTTGGAGCCAGGCAGCTTCCTGCATAGTAACAGGTACCTTTTGATACAGCGTTCCTCCTTCTTCCCCCTCCTCTTGGACACTCCAGGTCGACTCCATTTTGTTTGCCGAGTTCCAGGCCTGGAAGGAATCTCCAACTTTGGACAAATCCTGCTCCTTCCTGGACAGAATTTACCAAGAAGATGTAGGACCTTGTCTGGACTTCACCAAGCAGGAGGTGAGTGCTGTAAAAGCAGGAGCAGTGGGCAGCTCTGGAGTGTTACCTTCCTGGAATTCATTCCTGCTCTCCCTTATTTTGCTGCAGCTGTCGGAGCTGGTGCGAGTGGCTGTGGAGCAGAACACCCTCACCATCGAGCCAGTGGCTTCCCACACTGTCCCTGTGGGGAAGGCAGCAGCAGAAGAATGTGGTGGCCCCAAGTAAGAGCTGTGCCTCCCTGCCTTGTCCCCTCCTTGCTGCTGGTTTGTCCCCTGCCATTGAGTGGTGTGACAGGCAGCTTGGGGCCACCTCACACTAGCAGGAGTGTTGTGGTATTCCAAACAAAGAGGAGGGACTTTATTCAGATATTAAATTTAAGCCCTTTCTTACCTTCTAAGGTGTCCCTGTGACAGAGGGGATGTTAAGGTTTCCTGCCAGTCTCCTGAAAATTATTCCCCAAACAACCCATCCTGTGTTTATCCTTATAAGTTTCCTTTAGTTTTTTTTAAATTTTATTTTTTGTCTTCACAATGGCTTCTGGTTACAAATCATAACGTAAGTGAAATATTTATTGTTCAGTCAGTGATCAAAGGTCTCTGGAGCATTAGCAAGTCACTAACTCAGCACCATGTGGCAGCTTGGAAGCTTTTGCTGAGCTGACCTAACTCTTTAACCCTGTTTAAATTCCACCCAAGCAGGATGGGAAGGAACCTATTGGCAATAAAAACCCAAAAGGAATTAGTTCCCCTTTTTTCCCAGATGTAAACCACTAATTTTTATGGCAATAGTGCTTAGTTTCGTTGTGATAGCTGTAGTTTTACACCAAGTAGTACCAATTAAGGAAGTCACTCTTTTCCAGGATGTGGCAATGCTCAAATATGTGGCTCCTTACAGGTATCTTGTTTACAAAGGTTTTGGTCATCCTGCACCTCCTGGGAATTTAATCTTCTTAAGATGTGGTAATATTTGGTCAATGATTACTTCTCCTTGCATGCGGTCACTTGGAACCCGTGCTTCCACTCTTGGCTAATGTTTGCCTTGAGAGCAGTGGAAAACAAGCCCAGGGACAAGCTCAGGACCTTTCTGAAACATCTCCTTCACCTCCTGTGGCTCCCCAGAGCTTTTTTTTTTTTGCAGTTTGGGAGTGATGTTCCTCTTCCTGAGGAATTTGGTGATAACTGTGCACTAGAAAATTCTGCTTTATTGCTTAAAGTGGTGATGGGAATAATCTGCCTTGCAAATATCAGGAGAAAAGGGAAGGAAACAAAGGAATGCAGCACCCCTTGCTGATTATTGATTGGTAAAGGCTGTTTCCACCCTCTGAAATCTCAAAATGGGGAAGCCAAGCTCCTTTCCTGTCTGCCCAAGGAGAGGTTGGCTTGTTTTGAGTTCTTGGTATGTGCAAATCCTGCTCAAATGTTGGATTTACCTGTTTTGAAGCCAGCTTTGGTGCCCAGCCAACATAGTTACATCTCACCAGGAAAGCTGATACACCTGAGCCTGGAATGTGGGGGACATGTGCAGAGACCAGGGGACATTGGTTGTGCTCTGCTCCAGCCTCACTTTTTTAATATTTCCTGTGGTTTCCTCTGGAGGTATGTGTCAGGGAAAAGGTGCTTTCACCTAAAGTCTCCTAAACTTCCCATTTATGGAATATTCCCAGGAGCAAAAGAATATCAGCCAAGGGTTGATTGGTTTTTTTTTTCCTTCTTCACGCTGCCTGACCCAGGGGTGGCTTCTGATCTCTGACTTCCATCTCCCCAGCTGGCTGAATTGCTGGATCTGTGCTGTGCCACTGGATTGCTGAAGTGCTTTTCCCTTTTCCTGCAGGAAATGTGCTCTGAGTGGCCTCCCCAGGACCTGCAAGCACCGGATCATGCTGGGGGATTCTGGGAATTACTACTACATTTCTCCTTCCTGCAGGGCCAGGGTGAGTCCTTCAGCTCCCCAGAGTGCCTTGACCTTCCAAAATTATTCCATGCCCCGCAGTAGATGAGTTCCAGTGGGTCAGCCCTGGAATTGAGGAAAAACTGTGGGATTTGAGGTTTTTCCTGTGGTTGAGTTGGCTCTGAGTTGATGATTAGGGGGCAGATCCAGCTCTTCCTTCTGCTTTCAAATAACCTTCAGTGTGTTTATTTGCCATGATTTCATTCAGTACAAAGCTTTGATTGTTTGGCTTTATTGTTATTATTTAATTCCCCTTTGTAAAACACAATAATTTTCTGCTCTTTAGAGACTGTTGCTGTTCCAGTCAGATCCGTGCCTGGCTGTGGGAACAAACTGTCCTTTCTGTGGAGGGGAGGGAGAAGGTGGATCATTTGTTAATTTTGTTGTTGGGGCTCTTGTTCAGTGGAGGATTTTAGAAGTTAATTATTTCCTGAGCTGCATTTTTAAAGAGCTGATCCCACAAAAAGTTGATTTTTGTGCACAGGTTTGACTCCTTTTCATCACTTGCACCAAAGTAATGTCTCAAATATTTGTTCCTTTTGTTTTCTCCCCCCATTTCCCTCTGGCCCTCAGATCACAGCAGTGTGCAACTTCTTCACCTACATCCGCTACATCCAGCAAGGCCTGGTGAGGCAGGATGGTAAGAGCTGGCTCCAGGGGGATGCTTTCTGTGGAGGCAACTGGGAGGGGCTGTTTGGAGTGACAGGAGTGGGGCCAGCTAGGGGTGTCTTTGAGAAGCAGATAAATGACAACAGAAGGGCGTGAGAGGAGGGGTGTAGCATCTTTTCCTTGTTTATCAGCTTCCTGGGAGCTTTGCTCTGGGGTGGGGCTGGTAATGGGTGACGCCATGGGCCTGTCCTCCTTCCTTCCCCTTTGGGAATGCTGGGAGCACAGCAGAGCAGGAGCTGGTGGCCAGCTGTGCCCTCCTTACTGATTTTTTTGTTTTTTCCCCATCTCTGCCCCTGTTGTGCTTTGCAGTGGAGCTGATGTACTGGGAGGTCATGCGGCTCCGGAGGGAGATGTCTCTGGCCAAACTTGGATTTTATCCCAGCGAGATGTAAGCAGAGCCCTGAGTGTGGAAGGAAACTGCTCCTGGAGGAAGGGCTTGGAATGTGAAGCCTGTCCTGCTCCCTCTCACCTTCCCTCTGCCTAGAGCAAGGAGCAAGAGGCACAAGTTCCACCTTCAGCTGTCCCACTCCTCCAAGTGTGGCTGGAATGCAGCTACCACACTGCCCCTGGAGCTGGGCTGGCCCTGGCTGCTCTGGGATGGCCATCCATAGACTGGAGTGTCCTATATGCAGTGTATATCCATTTTTTAAAAATTTTTGTTTTTATATGCAATCTGCTTTGGCATAACCCAAGGCCAGGCCTGTGCAGGGTGGGAATTCTGAACCTTCCTAGTGAGCCAGTCTGTCAGAACAGATGCTGGCTGTCTGTTCCACTTGTTTTTTTGGGATGGAGGGTGCTGTCCCTGAGGTCCTGCTGACCACAGCAGCCCTGAAAATGCCAGCAGAGCACAATAATCTTGAACAGTTTGTTTCCAAGTACTTCCTTGTTCCTTTTCAAGGAGCCTGCAAGAGAAGCTTGTTGCCAGCGGAGTCACAAAGAGGGATTTGTTCCTGTTTTTAGCTGGATGTTTGGCACTGGGTGATGCAGGCTGGGGAATGGCTAGAGCTGTGCACCTGGGGCCTCCAGCAGAGGAAAGGGAGCAGGGAAATTCCCTAACTCCCAGCTGGCTGCAGGATTTTTTCTCCTGGACTAGGGAATCTGCTGCAGTTGTCAGAGGCAGATGCAGGACCCTGTGACCAGTTCCTGGTGTGAAATCCCCCATGATGCTCCTAAACACAAACCTCGCCCACAAGCAAGCATTGGAGCTGATCCTGCTCTTGAGGGAGCTTTGGGCAGTCCTGTTCCCACCCTTCAGGCAGAGCCCATGTTCCCAGGTTTGTGTCTCCAGGAGGAGTGTGCCAAGCTGGGCAGTCCCAAAGCCTGGAGATTCCTTCCCAGTGTTGCATCAGACCTGGAGATGCCTGTCCACTGGGAATCACAACTTTTCCTGGGCTGCCATTCCCTGGTGAGGGAATCTGAAACCTCTTTGTGTGCACATGAGGGATGTGGCTGACATTCCTGCCTGCCCCAAAATGTGCTGGGAGGGAGGGATGTCACTGGAGCTGTAGGAATGCACAAGCTTGACACATCCTGAACTCAGACCAGGTTTATTAAAGCCATGACAGTATTTTGTAGCTAATTTAGCCTTTTTTTAAGTGACTCTGGAATCAGCTCAGCCATCACCCACTCTGGGGTTTTCACTTCTGACAGGGTTGTCACCCTGTCCCTCTGCCACCCTCAGCAAGCTGGTGCCCATCCTCAGCTCCATAATTCCATCCTCTCCTGAAGGATATTACAGTAGGAACCCAATTTTCTTCCACTGAGCTGCTGGATTGCGTCTAGGGGAGAGAGAAATAACACAGCTTTGGTTTCCCCAGCTGTGGATTTCAGCTCAGGTGAATTCCACCCCTGGAATTTCTCCCTGCATCTCGTCCCCCTGTCCTTGTGATCTCCATGTCTTCCTGTGCCGTGAGCTGCCACACTGCACAAACATTGCAGCACTGGGAATGAGATGATCTCTCTGGGTAGGAGATGTTTTGTTTTGTGGGATGTTTTTTCGCCCTCAGTGTCACGTTGAAAAGCACTTTGAGACAGAAGGAACTGGAGCAATGCCTTGTCTGAGGTTGTCTTGCATTTCAAACGAAGCAGAGAGAACAATTTGTGAAGGAAAATGAAGTCACTCTGTTAGCAGTGGGATGGTTGCACCCTGCTCTTTCATAAAGGAAAATAAACATTTGCTATTAACCTCTACAAGCCTCGTTGGAGTTGGAGGGTTGGGGTGCTTGGGGTGCAAGAGAAAATCCTACAGGATGAGGTTTGGGATGCTTTTATTCATCAGAGCAGGTACCTGTTCTTCCTGAGGGAAGCTGAGGCTTCTCCTGCTCCGTTGTGTCTCCTTTAATTTCCCAGCTTGAAGCACTGCACGGGTGCTGGGTAATTGGAGGATCTTCTTCCTTCCCCTTTTCCTGATCCATCTTCCCCTTCTCTCAGCAGGCAGAGGTTTTGGGGCACCCTGGTTTCACTAAAACCACTTGCTCTCCTCCCTGCTCTGCTCTGCAGATTAACGTGGAATATCTCCTCTTGCCCTGTGCGAGATGACAATGGGAGAGCTGTGTACAGAACGCGATTTAATTTCATTTTCATTTAAAAAGCCACGCAAAAATCCGGTTGTGCAGCACAGTCAGGCAGCCACGAGAGGGCACAGGCAGCCCAGGCACGGACTCCCTCCCTCCCTCATTCCCTCCCTGTCTTCCCTGGGAGAATGGAGCATCTCCAGGTCCCACCTGCGCCTGACCGTCCCTCCAGCCTCTTGACAGGGAAACATTCCTGCTGCAGCTTCCCTGCACTGCTGGGAAAGGGAATTGGGCAGCTGGAGAGTGAAAAGGGAGGATTTGGATTTCTGTAAGGGATGGTCAGGTGAGAGACTGGGAATGTTTTGCTGTGTCTGGGTCTTTCAAAGTAGTGTCTGCAGGGATTGCTGTTAGAAATTTCCCTGTGACACTGGCTCCTAAACTTCTAAGGTATGAGAAAACATCATGTCCTCTGTTGCCAACCTTTTCCACCAGAACTTTTGTGCTGTTTTTCACTTCATAAATAAACCAGAGTTTGAGCAGAGTCTCTGTGTCCTCTGGTACCTCCTGCAATCTTCCTTGCATCTATTTGTCTCAACAAAGAGTCTGCCAGCCTGTCCTGGGCCAAAATAAAGAGCTTCAAAGGGATGTGAGTTCAAAAATCTGCTTTTATGGACGTGTTTGACTTGCTTAATTTTGTTTTCATCCCTGTTTCACTCGAGTTTGGGGAGAAAAGGGATATTTGGGTGTTTGGATAATGGCAGAGGTCAGTGTTGTGCACAATGAAGTGCTTTTAAGCATTTGGATATTACTATTTGAGAAAGTGGAATTTAGAGCAGTGAGACTTGGTTGCTCCTGGAAGTTTTCTGTGTCTGCTGGCTGTGTCCTTTCCCTGCCTGTGGAATTACTCCAGGTTTGCTCAGGACTGTAAATCAGGCTGTCTTTGCGCAGCCGGTCAGGCTGTCCCCACATGCTCACAGAGATGGATGGTTCCTGTTCCCAGGAACCAACAAGTGAATTTTTTTTTTTTAATTTTTTTTTTTTTATTTTTTTCATTATTTACTCCAGGTGCAATCAAGGAAAAGAGAGAAGATAAGCAAGCAGCTGGCCTCAGAAAGGTCAGGATTTTCCAAGCTTTCGTGACCTTCCTGTAGGATGGATCCATCAAAGCATTGAGGTTCCCTGTATTTCAGGCAACACTGGGCCAGCCATGGGGAAATTCCAGTTGTTTTGGACATTCAGGGAGTGTGGCCCTGCCAGGAAAAAGTCAGATGTCCTGGCACAGCTCTCAGTGTGCACGTGGCACCCAGGGCTGGGGCTGGCCTGCTTTGCCAAGGCAACCCATTCCTAATAGGAACAAATCCCTGTGGTACCTAGTGCTGGGAGCCAAGAGGTTAGATTTGCTGTTTATCATGTCAATATTCCCATGTTTGTGCAAGGCTCACTGGGCTGAGCTGGAAGGTTGACTTTAGCCAGGCTGAGAAGGCAGCTGGACTTTGTGCTGGTTTATATAACGTCCAGAGAATGTTTCACCTCCTTTCAGAGTGGGTTAGGAAGGTAAAAGAATGTAGAGAAAATGAGATTCAACCTAGTTGTGGGCTGGATGTGAGGGGAAGAAGGGAAAATGGCTATAGAATGGCCTTAAGATAAAGGACAGTAGATTTGGATGAGATATTGGGAAGAAATCCTTCCCTGTGAAGGTGAGGAGGCCCTGCACAGGTTGCCCAGAGAAGCTGTGGCTGCCCCAACCCTGGAAGTTCGACCAGGCCAGGTCGGATAGGGCTTGGAGCAGCCTGGGATAATGGAAGGTGTCCCTGCTCATGGCAGGGGAGTGGAATGAGATGAGCTTTGAGATCCCTTCCAACCCAAACCATTCTGTGTTTCTGTGATGAATCTGAGCTGCCAGTGGTGTCCTGGCTCAGGAGATGAGATAGCACTGGCTGGAATGATGAAGCAGAGGGACAGCAGGGAAAGTTTAGGAAGGAAAAGACACTCCTTAGCTTTTGTTTGGCTTAATCTTGAAATGATTCCCCATGTAGGAGAAAACATCAGCTGCACGGGAAAAGCTGAGTAACTGGTACAAATCTGGTTACTTGCAAGTGACTCCAGTGATGAAAAAGCCATTTGTGCAGGAGCAAAAGTCCCAAAACAGCTCCCCATGGGACTGTACCAGCGAGGGGAGCTGGGAGAAGGAAGTTGAAGGTGTTCTTCAGGAAGCTTTGCAGTGCAAACCCCAGCACTCAGTCCTGTGCTGCTCACAGAGCTTCCAGGGATATCCGTGTGGGCACAGAGAACATCCTGAGCTTTTAACTCCTAATGCTTCCAGTTTCTGCTCCCTCTCTGGTTCTGGGGCTGCAGGCTTCCCTCTGACAGATGTAGCCATGGGATTGGCTCCAGGACAGCTCCCTGCCCTTAATTCCCCTGGCTCACTGTGCTAATTCTGCTCTGTTAATCACCTTAGAGTCAATTTAAGGTGCTCCACACAAATGGACTCTCAATGTGGGTCAGAGCTCAGTGACACCTTTGCTCTTTCTGCATCAGCACCTGGACAGAGGTGACTTGTCCCCTGCTTCTGGTGACCTTCCCCTTTGTCAGGCCACCAGTGCCATCTGGCAAAACCAGGAGGAAGGAGGGAAGCACCAAATCCAACTTTGCATCAAGCTGAGGGCAGTAATAAATGATGTCTCAGGAGAGCTGAAGCAGTGTCTGATGGTCCCATGGTGCTTTTGGGCAAGGGAAGTTTTGCCAAAATCTTGGTAACTCGGGCAGACATTAGTCCTTAATAGGAGAGGGAAACTGGGCTCCAAATCTGATTCATTTCACACTGGAATGATGTGTATGTGGAGAAGACCTCGTGGGCTGTGTTTGAGTAGTGCCTGAACCAACTGAGTTGGGAGAACCCAAAAAACATTTTTCTGTTGTCAGCAGTTGGGCTTTGCTACTTTCTCCTACTGTGCTGGTTTTAAAAGCCTGGCTTTACACTTTCAAGATACACAAATGAAACCCTCTCTCTTACTGCAGCACTTGGGACTCATCTCCACATTCAGGAGAGCTTCTCTGAAACAATTTACTAAATATTTCAGTAGAGGCCTTAAAAACTGTTCCTCTCTGCTTAGAAAGACATTGCAGAAAGGAAATTGCTTCTCAATCTCTGTCCTCTTTTGTGTTTGAATCATTTGTGCATCATGGGGCAGAGCAGGCTCAACATCTCTTTGCTTTTAATTCTTCATTTTATTTTATGCAGACAGAAATGTTCCCAGGGAATGATTTGGGCTTCATGGGATCTCCAAAGATCATCCAGCTCCTGACTTGCCCAGAAGCTCCTGCTGCACCATTCAAGCCCAGACATTCTGTTACTGTGGAGTTGTTGATTTTCTGCAGGGTGGAAGGAGTCATGGTGCTGGAATGCTGCTGGAACACTGTGGCTTCACCATTCCTTGCCCTCTAGTACTGTTGGATTCCGTTTCACTTGCATTCCTTCACCAAATCAGGTGTTCAATTTTAGCACTCGGTGAGCTCCAGCAGGATGGGGAGACAAGAATGAGCAAGACATGGAATTGGAACTGTCAGCAACACTTCGATTTCTGTTACACTTTATTTCCCCCTCCCCAGGTGATGGTGAGGCACAGGCTGTGCTGCTTTGCTCCATTTGGGGTAGTGAGTGTGGCCTAAAGGTTTGTGGACTTGCAAAGGGTGATAATTTCAACTGTGAGTGATTTACCTGGAGCTGCCAGACCAGGAACTGGCTCCAGCTGAGAAACCAACAGCATCTTCGGCTCAGAACCCAAACTTCCAGGGTTTATCAGGCATCTGTAAGCAATAAGGGAACAAAACACACAGAGAAAGTGCAATATGGCTCCTATTGCTTAATGAAGGCCAGGCTAATTGAGGGCAATTAAATTAATCAGGGAAGTGAACCAGCCACACCCATTCGGAGGAGGATGCGTGCAATCACAGGCAATTACTGTAATTAATCTTCTCATTGTTGTCCCCACAGCCAGCACCTGGCCAAGAAGTTGAGGAGTTACCTAACTGTGCTCAGGAGGATGCTGCAGGCGAAGGTGGTGCTTCCAGGTGAGGATCCTTCTCCTTGGCCTTTTCCCACTCCTTTCTCGAATTTCTGCTGAGCCTCCCTTGACCTGAACAGCCTGGGCTTGACCTCCAAACCTCAGTGGCTGGCAGAAGGTGGAAAAGCTCTGACACAGGATATTTTAAAACACATCATTCACCCCAGTGAAACTTACATTTGTTCCCTCCAACCTCTGTGAGGGGGTAGATAACGCCTTTATTTTATTATATTTTTATTTATTTTATTATGTTAATTTAATATTTTTGTTATATTTTTATTTTACTCTGTTTTATTATATAATTTGTACTTACTTTATTATATTTTATGTTCTGCTGTGGGGGAATGATCCACCTCCTGGCTCACTCTGGAATTCTGGATTAATCCCTTTATAATCTTTACAACATGGTTTCCAAATGGATAATAAGTGTGTGGCTGAAAATGTGAATGGAATATTCACCTTACAGCAGCTCCAACAATGCCCTGTTCTGTAGAATCCCCAGAACAGAGGGATGGGGTAGGGAGGACTCAGTATGGAAGTGTTTCTCTGTGATATTTGAGGAATTTAGGCTAGTTTTTCAATAAAATATATATGATAGCATGAAATAACCCAGCATAAACACTGGAAAAAAAATAAGGGTTTTTCAGAGGCTGAGCTTACTGGCTTTTTTGGGGGGTTTTTGTTTGGGTTTTTTTTTGAGTTTTTTTTGTTTGTTTTGTTGGAGTTTTTTCCTACAGAGTTTTAAAAACCTGTTGCAAGAAGGAATCTCACAAATGTGGCTGTCCCATCCCTGGAAGTGTTCAAGGCCAGCTTGGAGGGGATAAAAATCTGAACCATGAAGCTGTTTCTCCCTACACTGATGCCACACAAAAAATTATGTTGTAAAGAAGTTTCCTGAAACCTCTAGAACTGGGCCCCTGCAGACTAAGTAAAACGTGATTTTTTAAAAAAGCAATATGGTTAATTGATGAAGCTATCGATTTGTAACAGTTAATTTTTGTATAAGAGCCCCCTGTGTGTGCATTAGGGGAACCTGTTTATTCTGGGATGAAATGAAAGCCCTAAAAATGGGGTCATTTTCTGCTTTGAGTTCTGTGACACCTCGTGGCACCTGCTTTTGGACAGGATGAGTTTGCCTATGGAGCAATTCCTGTGGACTCTGGCAAGCTGCAGTGTTGTTTTTAGGGGCCAGATGAGGATAATCTGGCCATCACTTTGTCTCCTGACCTGGGACAGCCTATGAGTTTCCTTTGTCTGCCCCTCCACCTGATGGGACAGGTTTCAATGGGTTCATTTCACAGAACCAGTGCTGTTAAGGCCTCTGGGCTGACCTCAAGACAGTTTTGACGTAAAATCCACTGCTGGTGTTGACCCAAAACCCACCAAAGCGTTGGATGGAGCTGTGGGTGGAAAAACTGCTGCAAGGTGCTCACCATACCCCAGGATGAGCCATGAATGGGCACAAAATAGAGTTTAAGAAAACTGTAAAATCTTTCTATGAAATTTCCACAACAATTTTGTTCTCAGCTGCCTCCTCAGACAGTCTGGAGGCCAAGTTTGAGTGGCCAGACAAATCTTTGACAGGAAAATCTCCTTTCCTTTGGTGTTTGTTCCCAGGATGAGGGGAAGCAGCAGCATTGATCCTGAGATTGTGAAGGCTAATAAAAAAATCCATATGTGCTATTAAAGTCAATGGTATCAAAGTAATTCCACTAATTTGACCTGGTGAAGTGGAAAAAGGACTTTCTGCACTCCCTGGCTAGTGTTCCTCCATAAAAAGCCCCAGGAAAAACAGGGAAAGCCATAATAAGCAAGTCTGATCTCAGGTCCTTTTTTAGTTTGCTTCCACAGTGTTCTTAGCCAAGTTCAGTGTTCTTGAACTGCTAAAGAAAACCAGTTACAAGGCTAAATCTGAAACTGGAGCTTGAATCACCCTTTATGTCAAATCCTAACCAGACTTTTTACAATTCTGAATTTGAACATGTTTTCAATCTCAGAACAAAACCTGGATGGTGATATTCCCACCCCAGAAATCTCCTGACTTGCTTAGTTGGCATCTCCATGCCACCTGCTTGTGGGTTTGTATGGCAGAAGGCACTCCCAAGAGGGAACAAATTCCCTGAGCACCAGTGACTCTGGAAAAAAACACATAAAGCACTTGAATGGTCAACAAATAGTTATGATTTTATTGAGTGGTAGAATACACAAGGAAAAAAAATTTGCTCTTTTTGAGTTACTGGATTTTTTAATATTTTTCTTTTTTTTTGAGAATTAAAAAAAAACAAAACAGGAGCTGTCCTATAAGGAATGTGGGTTTGCTGTTTTAACATTGGACATGTTAGAGCTTTGTTATGAGGGCTTTCTTGGGAAGGCATCTACTAAGGAAAAGGATGTCTTTGCCCTGATGAAGATCTCAAATCCAGCCAGAGAGCTCAGCCCCTGCAGCAGGAAATGATGGTGCCTGGACATGGGTCCTGACCAGCCTCCCAAGCCCTATTTCAGTGAGCAGTTGGGATCTAGACTGCTCGAATCCAGGCCTGGCGGGAAACCTCCAAGAAAAGTCCCCTAATTCCCACTGTGCTTCTCCCTGAAAACTGAGGGCAATGAGTCCCTGCTCCCAGAGCTGTGGGAGGTGGGGGCTTAGTGTGAGATCCAGTTGACTGTGAGGTGCCTGTGGATGTCACCAGTCCCTGCCACCCCCTCTGAGCCCCAGCTCTGCCCTGTCCTGCCCTGTGTCTCCAGCACAGCCCTCCAGGCAGATTCCAGCCATGCTGGGAGATCGTGGGACACCTGATTCCAAATTTCTCCTCCTTCAGCCCTCTGTATTTTTTCTCCAACTCTCATACATCCCTCCCCAACCCCTGACTTTCCCAAACTTCTCCCATCTCTCATTCTCCCCACAAAACACACCCAGAGACTTCTCTTTGCTGCAGTTTGTGCTTTTCTCTGACATCCTCAATCATCCTGGTCCTCCAGCTCCTACTCCAGTCCCCCGCAGTGAATGGGGAGAAAAAATCCAGTCCTTCCCTGGCTGTTGTTTGATTCTCTGCCCTGAAACCACCTCTGTGTTTCCAGCTCCCCATTTCCATGTGGTGTAGCTGGATTCAATAAACCCTGGCAGGCTTCCAGCACCCCTTACTGGCTTAGGTTTTTTTTCATGCTTGTCTCATTACAGCACAAATGAATGACCTTTATCAAGAGAGAAAGTGGACAAGATTTCACCTCATTATTTTCATATAAACTGGTTAGTTAAGAGTCCTCAGAAAGCTGGGCAAAGCTGTGCTGAAAATTCTGTGTTTTGGTCATTATGATGGCAGATTTTAACCTGCTCGTCTCTCACTCACTGCTGCCTTGGAGACAAAGCTCATGGGAAGTTTATATCCATCTACATTTCCAGTCTTACTGAAACTTCTGGAATATCTCCAGATAAAAGTAATTTTACTTGGAGAACAATGATAACAAAGCAGATTGATCCAGACTTCCAGGGCTCTTTGTCAGTGATCTCTTTGACATGCTCCAGTTAAAGAGTGGAGAGCTTCTAGAATCATGGAATGGTTTGGGTTGGAAGGGACAATAAAGATCATTCAATTCCACCCTCCTGCCATGGAAGACCTTCCCTAGATCAGGTTGCTCCAAACTTCATCTAACCTGGCCTGTAACACTTGATGTCAACAAGGAATCAAGGCACATAGAAAACAACTCAAATTCCCAGATAGCTGGAATTTTTTGGAAGTAGAGGAAAAAGCTACATGAGCCAGAGAGGCTTTGCCTGGAAAAATAATAAGTTTTTTCTGGGAAAAAAAATGCCCATTTGCCTGAGAGCTGATCTTTTCCCCAAGGTCAACCCAAACGAGAGGAGAGGAGAGGAGAGGAGAACAGGGCTAAGGAGGAAAATATTTGCTCTGGAAATAAGACAAAAAACCCAAGGGCTGTCAGAAAAATAAGCTGGACATTTAAAAACTTTCACTGTTGATGCTACTGTACTCATGGTCATCCTTGCTGAAGCACAGTGAGGTACATTCAAGGATGGGGTGCACAGATTAAGGTAATACTGATGAGGTTAGCCAAAGTCCAGGCTAGCTCCTTACTACCTGCCTGGAAAATCACAGCATCCAGAAGGATGTTATTTCTGTAGCTTTTCACCCTAAACATTCATTCCTTATCTGTAAGCAAAGATAAAATCTCATTTTATTCTCCAAAGACTCAGGGAGGGAATTCATTATTTTTTTTATTTTTTTCACAATGCTGGCCACAGTCCCAGAGTCATCTCTGTTCATGATGAAGCACCTTGCTGATTCTGTGTGATGCTGCTAGGATTCAGGGATTTGATAGAGAAGATCCAGTTTCAGAGCTGAGGGAAGTAATGAGGCGTGCAAAGTAACCAGAGTCTCCCTCCTGGTGTTTCCAGGGAGCACCGAGGCAGATGATGGTGCTGGATGGAGGCTGCTTTTGGAACCACGGCCCTTTGTCCTAAACCAAATATCTCTTCTGTAGTGTTGCAGCTGAACCTGAACCCCTGGTTTATTTGGGGTCAGGTACCTGCTCCAGAAGCACCTGGAAGCTTCAACCATAAGTTGACAGCCCGATCAGCCATTAGTGAATTTTGGTAATTAGGCGCTTGGCAGAAAATAGAGTTTTAGACAACTTGTAAGAGCGTTCTCCAAAGCTCTCACATCAGCAGCACAGCCTGGGCAGGGCTGATTCCAGCTGGGATTGTCTGTTTGAGCAGCTCCTCCTTTTTCAGGGAGAAATCCTTTCCTTCTGTGATTGTTCCCAAGGGAGGGGTGAACAGTGCCATGGCTCCTGGCCTCGGGCAGGCAAGAAGAGGATCGGTGCCTGCCAGGCATGTGCAGACAGGCAGGACTCTGGGTTTCTGCAGGGCAGGATGGTAAAAAGGCCATTTGTGGTTCCCCTGGAGCACTGAGGAGCAATTAGCACTTTTTGCTTCTGTGATTGTTTTGGTCTTTTGTGTGATTTGCTGGTTATTCGATGTGTCAGACCTGCTCCTCATTAAAAAGAAAACAGAACCTCTTCTAAAGGAGATATTCTGCTATTTATAACCCAGAAATCTTCTACAGAGCCCTGGGAAGAGGGGCTGATCCTAAAACCACGGCTATGTTAACCCTGCTATGGTTAGGGGTTAGCTGTGCAGGGCCAGGGTCACAGCTTGCACTAGAGGGATGCTATGATTAGAGAAGGGAAGGAGTCAGGGAAAGGAGGGAGCTGGGTTCTGGACAAGGCTGGAAGCACAGTCCAGCAGCTGCTGGTCCTGTGGGATGTGATTCCTCTTTCACACAAACATGGGAAAAGAGGCATGAGCTGACTGGGGTGTCCTTGGATTGCAAGCACTCACTGAGGCCTAAAAACCCTTAGGTGTGAATCAGGGTTTGTGTGGTTTAGGCAGAATGAGAACAAATCATGTGAAAAGAAGGTCAAGGTCAGACATTAATGCCCCTTTTTTAAACATTCCTCATCATCCTCTCCCAACCTTCCCTTCTTTGCTGGCCTCGCTTTCCACTCTCTGGAGCACATTTTAAATCTGCCTGGATTAAAACAGGTTGTCTGGGCCTGAACCAGAAGCAGCTGACAAGACAGAAACTCCTCTCCAACCGTGGATTTAGACAGATCTGAGAGTAAAAGACACAAGTTGTGATTCCCCCCCATGCCCCCCCATCCCTCCCGCTCACTCACACCTCCCCAGAAAGATTCATGATCACTTATGGAGATAAGCATCCAGCCAGAGATCTCCAGATTTCTTCAGGGACCTGTGGGAAGAAAAGGAGAAGTTTGGGAATCTTGCTTCTGTTATGTTTCTCCTGCACAGAAGGCTGTTACTGAATTTTAATATCAATCATAAAACCCACCCTCTGTCAGTGTGAAGCCATTCCCCCTTGTCCTGTCACTCCAGACCTGTGCCCTAAGTCCCTCTCTAGCTCCTTTGGAGCCCTTTTAGGAACTGGAAGGAGCTGTGAATTCTCCTGGGAGCCTGCAGGCTTCACTCTGCTGTGCCTTGGTGCTGCATGGCCCTGTCCTAACTGGATTTGAGGACAAAAGCAGGTCTGGAAACAGCTCTCCTGCCATTGTGGTCACCCCACTTTAATCTGCCCATGTTCAGAGGGGTTTGTGCTGGAGGTGCCTGGACTGCAGAGCTTTCTCATGTTCCCTGCCATGAATTATTCCCCTCGGAGGAACTGAGACAGCAACATTATCACCGAGGCTGCTGACAAGGACTGTTAGACCGGTCTCCAGCTCTGCCTGTAGGGAATCGCCTGTTGCTGCTGGCAGAGCTCTCAGGAGACACAGCAGGGGCTGTAACCTGACCTGTTTCCCTTTGATTCATCTCACTTTGCAGCAGGAGATCTGCTGGCAGCTGTCAGAAAAGGGTGGTATAAAAGCCAGAATCCTTAAGTGTGGAAAAGCCCTCTAAGATCGACCCCAGCTCTGTTGAGCACCATGATCCCAAATGCCACGATCAGGTTTGTACCTGTCTAAAGGTCAAGTGTTTGATCCTTTGACAGCAACAAATTTCTTAATTTCTTAAGGATCTGCCATGTCCTGGATCCTCTGTGCTAGAAAATATCAGGTGTCCCTGGAAAAATGAGCTGCAGGTGGGATCAGGAGGGCCTTACCCAACGATGTCTACGAATGCTTTCCCGAGAGGCTTCTCCTCATACTGGACTCCATACTTGGCACATAGTGACTTCACCAAAGGCTTCACCTTCCAGAAGTTATGCCGTGGCATTGTTGGAAACAGGCTGGAGAGGAGAGAGAGGAAACAAAGCTGAGAAAACTCACAAGATAAGCAACAAGGGATGGGCATTAGGGTTTGTATCCTCAGGGACTCATTGTTGCTGCTTCCTCCTCAGGCTGGAAAGGGAGGCACAGAGACACCCCTGCTTTACACTCCTCCGTCTCAAGGAGGTGGTGAAAACTGATTTTCCTGTCATGCCTCAAAGCAAAGCCATGCTCAGGACACACTGAAATCCAGTTTGTGCAAGAAGGGATACGAGTGAAATGAGAGGGCAGCAGGAATGAGGGAACAGCCTCAGAGATGGCCACTCATTCCTCTGGGAATAGTTGTTTCCTGCTGAACTGAATTCCCACTGACCTGCTTTTCCACTTCTGGAAGCAGGTAAAGAGGGACTTTGGGGGCACCTTGCCCTATGCTCTTCCATGGAGATTTCTTAAGCTGGCTCCCAAAACAGCCAGCCTCACCCTAAAAGCTATTTCTTTTACATTTGCTGTTGCCATTGGCAACAGACTGTCCATATGGCCCTGTTTTCCATATTTTTTCTAGAATCTGGTACCGTGCATCCTACACAGTCCCACTCTCTATAAAACACTGGAGTGCTTTAGGGGAGGAGAGTTTTCTGAGGTGGATGCTTGGGATTTGAGCCCACAGCTTTTGTAACTGGTAGACGCATAATGACAACTCCTAATTAAACCCTAAATTAAGGTTGTGAAAGTGAAAGCTTTGGAGAAAGAGAGAAAAATGTCATGGCTGTAATAGAAGCAGACTATCATGGAATGGTTTGGGTGGGAAGGGATTGTAAAGCTCATTCAGTTTCTGCCCTGCCATGGGCAGGGTCACCTTCCACTAACGCGTTCTGCTCCAAGCCCCGTCCAACCTCAGCCAGAGCACTTCCAGGGATGGGGCAGCCACAACTGCCACACCTGCATAGTCTGAAACTCTGTTTCCTTGCCATACAATCCTTCCCCATGGGATAATTCCCTCCCCTGGGCTGTGACAAGCTGGCAGCGCCCTCACGATGCTGGCTCTGTACTCACTGGTGCTCGATCTGGAAGTTCAGGTGCCCGGTGAACCAGTCATTGAAAAAGGACTGCTCAATGTTGCAGGTTGCTGCTATCTGCCAGGGAGAGAGAAAACAGCAAGTGTTAGGGATGGCTCATCCCAAAACCAGGGTGAAATTCCTCTTCCCTGAACTCTGGGGGTGCAGAGCCTGCCATGCTGGGCCTGCTGGGTGTAGCAAGGGGAGCTTTAATCCTCCCTCAGGGCCTCAGGTAATCAAACTCTCACTGGTGGTGAAGTAATGGAGCAGCCCAAGCCCAGATTCCTAAATCTCAACCTCTCTCATTGGAGATCAGAGGGTTGACAGCAGTACCAAGGTGGAAAACAGGAGGAAAATGCATGGACACAAAGCTTCCCCATCCCTGTGTAGTTATTGCCCAGTTTGCCTTTAGTCGATATTCTGAGAATATTTCTTAGGTATTCTTGCCATTAATGATCATAAAAATAGATAGTTTTTTCTTCAAATTCTTAAAATTCAACTAAACTTTTGATTAGGTTTCTCCCTCACACATTTTACTTGGATTTGCAGGGAGATAGAACTGCCACAATATCAAGAGTATGGTTCTAGAATAAAGAAGAGGAAAGGAAGCACTCAATTACTCATCTTCCAGAACGAAAGGACAAAGGCAGGCTCCAAAATGAAGAGTCAACATTTTTTCCTCAGCTATTTTGTTGCTGGGATCTACAGGCCTGTGTAGATCTGTGGCCAAAACACACAGGAATGCTTTTTGGATTTGCAGTCACGTCCAGCTTCAGTCACCACAGTCAGCCCTCCGCTCAACTTCCCTCCGGGAGCAGGTAACCTTTCGATTGTCAAAGTAATTGCAGAACTTTGGAATTCCATGTCTTTCCCCAGCATTGCTGCTGGCTCTGGGAAGAACACCTTTATGGGAGAAGTCATGGACAAGACATTCTATCCTAGTAAGGGGTGGTGGTATCACTGGGGGTGGTGGTAACTCTCATACTCTTTGAATAAATCCCATTTTGGGGTGAGTCAGGGGTGTTTTTCCCTCCTCCCAGTTACCTGGGAGCTCAGCCAGTCTCTGTGCTTCTCAGAATCAATTTCCATTGGAATGTGATTCATCTGGGTGACCCACACAAACCAGTGACTCTCCAGAAACCTGCAAAACCAAGAAAAATCATGACAATTTCTATTGGATGTGAGGACATCAGGTAATTAGAGTGGGGTTTGCAGGGAGCAGCAGAGACTTGGATGGGTGTTGACAGGGAATTGCCTGGAATCATCCTTGTTCCAGGCTGTTTTCTGCAAGAGTAGATGATCCAGTTTTGCAATTTTGCTTTTTTTTTTTCTTGTATTATGAGTTTCATCAAAAATTTTGGCAATAATGGGCTGCTTGTGATAAGTTTTCCAGCTTGATTTCAGTTTTGGAGCATGCACAGAATTACTTCCACAGTCAGCTGGGAAGAGAGTGGGATGAGGCACTCTGTGAGGGTCCAGCCGTGACCAAAGTGGGGTCAGCAGTGTGTGAGAATAAGGAATGATGAGGAAAGGCAGGAGAATCCTGACTGGACCATCACGGGGCAGGGGAAGATGCAGGAAGA